GCTGATGTGATATGAGCCCATATGAAGAGAAATGGTGTCAAGAATGAGGGAGGTGATAGACTGGCCCTACTTGTTACTTGTCAGACCGTGGAGGCATGTTCCAATAAAGTCGAATATATTCAGAGGAAAACAAGAGGACAGTGAGGGGACTAGAAGCAGTGTAGAGAATAGTTGAAAACCATATTTAGCATAAAAAAGAGAAGCCTTGGGGTACTTAAATGCTGTCTTCAAATATCTGAAGCCACACATGTGGAATTAAAAACCGATTCCTGGGGCCAGCCCAGTGGCGCAGCGGTTAAGTGCTCACGTTCTGCTTCGGCGGCCCGGGGTTCACCGGTTCGCATCCCAGGTGTGGTCATGGCACCGCTTGGCAAGCCATGCTATGGTAGGCATCCCACATATGGAGGAAGATGGGCACGGGTGTTAGCTCAGGGCTAATCTTCCTCAAGAAAAAAAAAAAACGATTCCTAAGTGGGTCCTCACAGTCTGAAACTACCCCTTTTTGCTGACAACTCCACATCTTTATCTTAAGCTCAGATCACTCTCTGAGTACTGGTTCTGTCCATTCAGCTCTCTTTTTGGATGTCCCACAAGCACCTCAAACCTTCCATCAGAGACCCAGGAGTCATCCTTAACCCCTCCTCCTTCCTCTCCCCTTCAGTCATTTTGTCACCAAGTCTTGTTAATTCTACCTCCTAAATACTTCTCTAGTCTGCCCCCCTTCTTTTGTCTTGTTTTCTATAGTAACTCAGCTAGTTTCCCTAATTCCAGCTACACACACCATACTCAGTGGTCCTTCTAAAACAGAGATCTCATCCTGGCACTTCCCTGCTTAAAGCCCTTCAAAGGCCTCCCTGTTGCCTGCAGAAGTCTAAACTCTTTTTTTTTTCTCTTAAAGATTTTATTTTTCCTTTTCCTCCCAAAGCCCCCCGGTACATAGTTGTGTATTTTTAGTTATGGGTCCTTCCAGTTGTGGCATGTGGGACGCCACCTCAGCATGGCTTGATGAGCAGTGCCATGTCTGCACCCAGGATCCGAACCAGCGAAACCCTGGGCCGCCAAAGCGGATTGCCCGAACTTAACCACGTGGCCACGGGGCCAGCCCCGAGAAGTCTAAATTCTTTAATTTGGCATCTGAGGCCTTCCATAACCAGGTCCGGGGCTACCATTCCATCCTCAATTCCTGCCACTACCCCTTAATTCCCGGTAAGATGTTTTCAGTGCGCTTCCTCCACACACAACAGGCTCGTTTATGCCTCTGTGCCTTTGCTCATGCTGATCTTTCTGCCTCATACTCTGTTCCTCTCTTCTTGCTTCGTCTAATTCTTACTTGTTTTTCAAAATATAGCTACAGAAACTCTTCATCTATCGTTAGGCTAGGCTAAGAATCACTGCAAGGTGTTTTCTTTGCGCCGTGTATTTGCTCCAACCATTAAGAGCACATGATACTGAAATGCTCTCCTTCCTTAGGTTCTCACATCTTATCCCTGTTGGTATCCCCAGTGCCAGGCACACATTAGGTGCTTGAACTGAAGTGACCATGAGAAGGGTGCTGCCCATGTTTCTGTGCCTATTGGCCTTCGCACTCACATTCCATCACGTTGGGCTTTCACATTTCGGCGGCTCTGGATGGGAAGAGCTTCTCTGGGCTGCTTCTCTGACATTTCCCTAACGATTCTTCACTCAGAAGAATGAGCATCCTGGATCTTTTGCCCAACGAAACCTTCCAGGTGTTATCCCTACCCCCCTTTCTACCTCCAACGCACTCTGCAATTCAGAAGGCCACTGGACGCTCCTGGAAACCTGCCCTTCAGCGGATCTTCCTTTTCAACCATGGGATCGTTTTTTCAAGCAGCATCAAGTGTTTCCAGTTGAGGCAGTCTGGGATCCTGGCTCTATTTTCCCTGGAAGAAGCGGGTCGTTGGCACCGGCTGACTCTCCAGAGCTGTTGTCATCTGAGTGCAGAGGAGGTGTCATCACCAGGGCAGTGTGCGTGCACACGCGTAGGCTCCTCTAATTTCTCCGCCGCTGTGATACTCCCTCCAGTGTGGAGACTGAGGCTGCGCACCGTGGACTGCCTCTATCTCCTACAGGCTGGAGGAGACCTTCAGGTAGAGGGGAGCATACATCCATGACATGAGAAACTCTCCGAATGTCTGTCTCTGTCTTTCTGTGGTGCCTCCTCTCTCTCCATATGGGGATGGTGCTTCCGAAACATTGGTCCTGACACTAACCCTGGTGGTTGTGATCTGTCTGCTCTGAAAGACAAGCAAAAGTTTTTAGGATGGAGGTCCTGACTTGCATGTGGGTGCACTCTAGGATTTACCAGAAGATGTCACTGTAGGCTTAAACCAGTAAAACAAATTAAGGCGGAAGGACTGCCAGCTAAGCATGAAGGTGACTCCATTATGGGGCTTTAAAACACCCAGGAGCCCCCATTATAATGCATGCTTGGAAACGCTGGTTGAAAGATTAATCTAAATGTGTCACTGGACTTCATAAATTTCTTTTTTGTCCAAATGATCAGACTAATTGCCCCTAAACTATCGCCTCAGGCCTAGCATAAAAGCTCGATAAATGTGTACCGAATGAATGAATGAATGAATACCAAAACTAGGAGTGGAAAGAGGGAGCTCGTGGGAACAGCAGTCGCATTTGTTGGTAAAGGCTACTGGGGAACAAAAGCTGCTGCTCATTAGCTGTGAGTCTTTATGGGGATGAATTTTCGTGGCACCAGCAAAGTCAGGTCCTAGGAAAAGCAGTGAGGCAGGTGAAGGTGGTCGTGGCCCCCTCTCCGTCCTCACCCCCACATGCTTCTCCTGTGCCTCATGCTTGTTTCGTCCAGAAAAAAACATATAAGAAGATTTTTTTTTTAAAAAAACCTCTCTGATTTTTGCAAGGTACTTACAAGATTATCCAGAGTTTTTACATGATGAGGCATGGCCTTCCCAGTTCCCAACTCTCTCCCTCCTCTTCCCTGGAATAGCTCATTAAATAAGCAATTAAAGGAGTTACTGAGATTCTGCTTTGTGCCAGGTATAAAGGCCAAGAGACAAAGCTGGAATGGATGGGATGAGAGTTATAGAAGAATAGGGTAGCGCCTCTGTCCTGGAAACCATAGTTTAAGCAGAAACATAAACGAGTAATTGCAATTCAATATCAAAAGTATTTTAACAGAGGCTAAGTGTGGAAGGGCTGTGGTGACGCAGAGGAACCGATGGATGGCAGCAAGGTATGAGGTTTGTTTTCTCAGAGGACAGATACTACTTGGACTGGGATGTGAAGCACGAGTAGGATTTTCCAGTCCAAAAGGAAGGTCACACCAGGCAGAGGAAACCCCATGCACAGAGTAGAGGCATCCAGGATAGATCTTAGGAAGCCCAAGTTGCTCAAAGCTCAAGACTTGGGAGAAATGTGTCCTCAGAGGACTTCAGCCAACAGACTCAGCCAGTCGGGTGGTTGAGTTAGTTCCCTCTGGCTCCTCGTGCATGTGTGCAGAACCACTACTCCCTCAGATGGGAATGAACAAATGTCAGCAAAGATGTAAGCCATTCCCCAAGTTTCCTTTAGGAAACTAAATGCTAATATTAAGTGTTTACTGCTGTTTTCCTTTCACAATATACCCTTCCATGACCTCATCCTTCATCCAGTGAACCAGAGTGGAAACTCATTTCTTTTCTTTTTTTTTTTTTGAGGAAGATTAGCCCTGAGCTAACTACTGCCAGTCCTCCTCTTTTTGCCAAGGAAGACTGGCCCTGAGCTAACATCCATGCCCATCTTCCTCTACTTTATATGTGGGACGCCTACCACAGCATGGCTTTTGCCAAGTGGTGCCATGTCTGCACCCGGGTTCTGAACCGGTGAACCCCAGGCCAGCGAAGCAGAATGTGTGCACTTAAGTGCTGCACCCCCGGGCCAGCCCCGAAACTCATTTCTTATTAAAAGCATAACTCCAGGATTGTTTCTCCCCTTGAGTCTGCCTGATCACATCATAGGCCTTGATGTTTATGGGGTGTGGCGTGTGTGTGTGCACCTGCTGTGCATGAACGTGTGGTTTAATTGTTTGCTGGGCCACTATTTGAGCAAAGAACTTTATCAGTTTGCAGCTTTAAAGTGAAGATAGCTGTGCAGCAAAACCTCCACACTTGCTGACATCCAGGTGTCCTTTCAGTGGGTAAAGCAAGGGGCATTTGGAACTTAGAGAGTTAACTTTCCTATGCTGGAAATATTATCATGTGAGCGAAGGCCAAAACCAAGGTAGTGGCTTGCATATATGTCATTGACAGCTACCATGTCTATTTCAGTCAGTGACTAACCACAATGTTTATTTCTAGAGGCACCGGGCTGCTCTGCCTATCTCTGCATTCCACTTCCGTAACGTATGAGCCATGATGTTATGACAACAGCCAGAATCAAAAGTGTTATATCAGACACTCTTTCAGTGAGCTTTTGTTTTTCAGTCAGATATCCTGATTAGACTGGATATTGAAAAATGCTTTTGTATATTTATTAAGATACATTAGAATTTGAGATCACTTATCAACTCCATATCACTTCACTAAAATCGCTTGCTTCCACCAAGTCTCAATTTCATGATCAGTCAATGGGAGTTTAGGGGTTGGGGGTATGAAATAAAGTGGTTACCTACTTAGCAAAGGCGGTCATTGGGAGGACTTTGTCATTGGTTGGAGAGAGAGAAACAGAGGGGAAGGGGGAAGGGGAAGTGAGGAATGACAAGGCAGATGTCTTGGGCCTAAACTTTTCATACCTGCTTTAGCTGCAGTACCAGCAAACTGAGTGGAACAATGAGCTATCTGGACAAGCTAGTGGGGACAGAGAGGGGACCTCAGCACAGTTCACAGGACAGATTCCACCAGCTCGCCATCATTCACCTTTTGCCTTTGTTACTGGCCAGTGAGCATCACATATGCCATGCACCTCCCTGACTCCACTTACGTCACCCACATCCCTGACTGTTGGTCTTTGTGCTTTGTCTGTAGGAACTTCCACTATATCACCATCCTCCGAGACCCTGTATCTCGGTACTTGAGCGAGTGGAGGCATGTCCAGAGAGGGGCGACATGGAAAGCATCTCTGCATGTCTGCGATGGGAGGCCCCCAACCTCCGAAGAGCTGCCCAGCTGCTACACTGGCGATGACTGGTCTGGCTGCCCCCTGAAAGAGTTCATGGACTGCCCCTATAATCTAGCCAACAACCGCCAGGTGCGCATGCTTTCTGACCTGACCCTAGTAGGCTGCTACAACCTCTCTGTCATGCCAGAAAAGCAAAGAAACAAGGTCCTCCTGGAAAGTGCCAAAACGAATCTGAAGCACATGGCATTCTTTGGCCTCACTGAGTTTCAGCGGAAGACCCAGTATCTATTTGAGAAAACCTTCAACATGAACTTTATTTCACCATTTACCCAGTATAATACCACCAGGGCCTCCAGTGTAGAGATCAATGAGGAAATCCAAAAGCGTATTGAGGGACTGAATTTTCTGGATATGGAATTGTACAGCTATGCCAAAGACCTCTTTTTGCAGAGGTATCAGTTTATGAGGCAGAAGGAGCATCAGGAAGCTAGGCGGAAGCGTCAGGAACAACGCAAATTTCTGAAGGGAAAGCTCCTTCAGACCCATTTCCAGAGTCAGAGTCAGGGCCAGAGCCAGAATCTGAGTCAGAATCAGAGTCAGAACCCAAATCTGAATGCAAATCAGAACGTGACTCAGAATCTGATTCAGAATCTGACTCAGACTTCAAGTCAGAATTCAAGCCAGAAGGAGAACCGGGAAAGCCAGAGGCAGAACCCAGGCCAAGAGCAGAGTGATAGCAACCCCAGCAATGGCACCAACGACTACATAGGCAGTGTAGAGAAATGGCGTTAAATGGCTCCCAAAGGCTTTTGCACACTTCTCCCAAAGCGCCGGTCAAAGTATGGCAAATCTTAAAAGATGAGAGTGTCCAAACACATCCTGCTTCCTTCAGTTTGGATGTGAAAAAAAACTTAAGATGTTGCCTTTACAGTTGCCTTTCAATTAAATGTTATACTGTGCGTGGGTAAAACAAATTGCAATATGTAATTAAAGTGTCTTTTTCTTGGTTTGTTGGAGTATTTATAAAATCCAAAAGCCAAACCAGACTCACCAGAAATTGCTGTTCAGATATTTTAAGAAGTTCTTAAGTTAGTTACAGAGACAAAATGAAAACATTCAATGTGGCCATTTAGCTTCTGGCTAAGAAATGGACTTTAAATTATTCATGATACACTGTTAAAACCCAATTTTGATCGCAAACATTTTTTCCAGGGGTAAGCATGAAATAAACATAAAAAAACACTAAAATTAAACATGAAACCTTTCATTCTCTTCTGATTTTAACAAGGAATCTATTTAAATAGAATAAGAACTGATGGTAAAGTTTACCAAACTGTAGAAAATGAAAAATTTCTCTCCTGAACATGGGTAGTTTTATGTAAAAATATTGGCTTTTCAAGTAGAACAGGACTCATATCTTATTTAAGAGAAATTTAAAATTTTAAACTTTTTCTACCTTCTACTGTTCAAAGGTTTTAAACAGGGTGTATCTCATATTAAACAAAACACTTTTTTTCCCCAAGTGGAATACCAATGTAAAGATCTAATTTCCAGATGCTTTCAGGGCACTGTAATTTCAACAATTCTGGAATCTTTTTGGCGCTGCTTCTCATCCATTTTAAGGCTTCTCCGAGTTGTGCTCATTCCAAACTAACGCATTTATAGAATCTTTCTTCATCATCTAAATGGTGTGTTGCTGAATTTGTTGTGATATATAATCCTGGATTAAAGTCAGGACTTTCTTTCTATAGAATTGTCTTATCAATGTTTGTGTAGTGAGGTCCTTATCAATAAATTCTTGAACAGGATACTGTGTCTAAAAATATTGCTGAAATTATTCTTGATCAGATAGCATTGAATCTGAATGTGAATGAATCGTTATTTACTTTTTGTACATTTTTATTGTAATGTTTCCAGGTGGGCTGGCTATTTGTAGCCCATTAGTTCCTTTACGTGTTGACAGATTGTAGACAATTAGAAGAGAAAAAAAATGGTAGAATAAACATTAGAATAGCCAGAGTTATTCAGTAACACCAAGAGCTGTACCTCAATACTTTGGGTTAATCCTCTACAAGGTTTTGTTTTAAAAAAGAACAAAAAGAAAGAGTGTTATGCACTGAGGTTAAATATCAGGAGCTTATGAGTTGAGGAGAGTGATTTAGTCCTGGAAGACTGTGCATAAGTACTTTTAGGGTATCAGTCATGAATTGAGCAGGGCAAGAAGAAGTATGTAACCCACTGTGCTATCAAGCCTCATGATTCTGGTCAGTTTCCACTTTACGGGTTTTGCTATACCTTTCTAAGGATTTACACGAACCCCCTGGCTGTCAATCAAACAAGGCAACTGGAAGTGGCATTTATGTTTTCAGGAGAGACATGCTTAAAAGTGTGACCATAAAGTCACATCTTGTACAGTCTGCCCATGTGCATGATCTAGGTTCATCTCCAATAATATGGCCACAAGCTGGACAAGAAGCTGAGTATTTAGGTTTAAAAGTAAACTTTCTTGACTCTGAGCTTATATCACTATATCTAAATTTTGTTTTGTCTGACAGTATTGCAGTCCTGGGAATTCTGAGAACTGAAAAACTGAAAGGAAATTTTTTAAAAAATCAAACACACCTTGAAGTCAAAATGTTTTAGAGTGAAACTATTTTGTGTATATTGTGTTTTTAAAATAAAGATTCTGTAGATCACTGTGGTATTTCGATTTTGTTTAGTTTTAATTGATAATATTTGCTCTTAAAGCTGATAGGTACTGTTGGAAAGCAGGATGAAGCCCGAGCCGGTTGAAAAGATTGTTACAGAAAAAATATTTTGTGTTATTGCTGTGGTATGCATGGTTTTGCAGAGATTAAGTGCATTTTCTCTGTCTATATTGATTATTGTATATAGGGGATGTTATAAATATACATTTTTGTCATCATCATGTAAATCCCATGATTTCAACTGTAAACATCTGTCCAATGGTGTAGCTTTACAAACCATTCACTGATTTTGTGTAATTTAACAATGATATGAAATAAAAGTTTAAATTACAGGCTCTGAGTAATTTCATGATTTCAAGGTTTGCAGCCACTAGGCAGTATGACATCAAACACAGAAGTCTCTTTTCTCAAGGAGTTTTCCTTTTTTCCTCTTGGCCACCAGGTCTGGAAATGAGATGACTCATTTTAATCTACCACACTAAAACGGCCTTAACTTTGGGTGCTTCCTTCTGAGTGTCCACACCGTTTCCTCTTTTGAGTAAAACAAAGTCATCAATGAAAGACAAGGTTTGCTATGTATCTTAGTCAGCTTGGACTGCTGTAACAAAATACCATAAACTGGGTGGCTTATCGACAACAGAAACTTATTTCTGCACAGTTCTGGAGGCTGAAAGTCCGAGACCTGGGTGCCAGCACAGTTGGGTTCTGGTGAGAGCCCTCTTCCCATTTGCTGTGTGCTTACATGGCAGAAAATAGCTGGCTAGCTCTCTGGCCTCTTATAAGGGCACTAATCCCTTTCATGAGAGCTCCACTCTCCTGACCTAATTACCTCCCAAAGGCCCCACCTCCAGACATCATCACATTGGGATTAAGGTTTCAACATACAATTTGGGGGTGGGGGACAAAAGTTCAGTCTATTACATTATGCAAATGAAATCTATGTGTGTGTGTTTTAATTTAAAAGTTATTAAAGTAGATACTTGTTTGTCTAAGAGTATACAGAAAAGAAATACAGCGCTCTTTATTTCTAATCTGTCCCCTCTGTCCACAGGCTAGAGGTTAAAGGTAAGCATTAAAGTATTGGCTTTTAAAGTTATGAACACAATATGCTCTAATTATATTCAGTGTGCATATTTTTCCAAACAAACTTGTGGTTAGGACTATGGATGAGGATGATTTGTCTTTGCCCTTTTCCAAAGAGAATTTAGATATCAGTTCCATGGGATTAGATGGAATAAAGCTACAAATTTGGGAGGTTTAACTAAACTCAGCCTGTAACGTATTTATACTTAGAAAGTTTTGTTGAGCAATAATTGGGTGGCCGAAGGTCCTGATTATATAAGGATCCCATGGACCCTTGGGAGGAACTGTAAACAGGTACATGGAAGCCAAGAACTTGAAATATTTAGGAAATAAAGGTTGTTTCACTTTTCCCCTGTGGAGGGTACTCTCGGAGAGCAGGACACTCGTACTGAAGTGGGGGAAATGTGGAAGACTTGCACTATGCTTCAGGACACAAGACTAGGATTGGCTGTTAAGGAAATGGGTTACTAAGGGAGCTCAGAGAGGAGCTATAACAAAGAAATAACTAATTGGCCCTGTTCCTAAGGACTTTAGGATTCTCAATGAGACTTACTTATAACCAAGTAAGAGCAGGGCTGTCTTTGGGGGTGGGAGTCCTGAAAGATCTGTCACACTTGGAGGGATGATTTCCTTCCATGGGGGGATGAAAAGAAGCGCAAAAGCATCGCACGGCAGGCTTGAGACACCCACAGTCTCCCCATGCCTGGGACAGAAGAAGAGACCAACAGAGCAGTCCAGGCTGCTGAGGTGCAGCCCACAGCTTTCTTGCCCTGGCCCAAGGAGGAAGTCCTTCTCTCTTCTCTTCACTAGGGATTAAACTGAGCAAACACACAAAACCCGGGCATTTTGTACAATGTGTAACAAGGCACAATGTATGCTTACTCCCGAAGGTAACCCCATGGGATTGTGCAATAAGGCAATCTTAATCTCTCAAAGGGCAAGAGTGAGGGAAACTGACAGTTCTAAATGTCAAAGGAATTAGATCAACGCCTCAAAAATTCTAAAGTAAATTTGTAAAACATGAATCAGACTTTTACAAACGTGCAAAGCCCTCAGAATTTCACAGGAAAACTGTTTTGAAAACAAAGCAACAGCTGTTTCTCGGTGAGACTAATACTGTTCTGAGAAGCTAGAGCTGGGCTCCAAAAACTACAGACCTGGGGCCAAGGGCAGCCCCCTACCTGCTTTAGTAAATAAAATTGTATTGAAACTCGGTCATGCCCATTTCTTTACATATTTCCTCTGGCTGCTCTCACGCTGCAGAGGCAGAAGTAGTTGCAGTAGAGATCTTATGACCCAAAAACCCTAAAATATTTTTCTTTCCCCAGAGAAAAAAAAAACTGGTAACTTCTGAGCTAGAGAGCTAATCAAAATTTCCTAAGTAGTGAAATCTTGGCCGAGTCTATAAGGATCCATACAAACAGCATTTACTGAATACCTACTGCATGGAAGTCACTGTATTAGGCCTGAGAACAGGGAAGAATCTGATCTTTACTCTCAGGATTCTGGAAATCTAAACAAAATGCTATGTCCGAGAGTATAGTTAAAAGCTTAAGTCGTTCTTCAGTGTGTGGGTTTGATCACAAGCTTCTAAAAAATTAAAACAATAGAGAAGTATGCAAAGTAAGAAGTGAAATTACCTACATAGCTCTTAGTCTCAAAAACTAGGGTAATTATGTGATTTCTTCCAGACCTCCTTGTTTTATTCATGTTCGTATCTAATCTCTTTCTCTCTCTCACATACACGCACACATTATATTGATAACAAAAATGAAACCATACCGTTCTCATTGTTACTCAATTTCCTTTTTTTTTTTTAAAGCTCAACAGTGTATCATGGTTCTCCTTCCCAAACTGGAATACAGTGGATGGTTTACCCCAAGCTCCCGAGCTGATTACTGCTGCTGTCATAGGTTGAGAGTGTAGGCTCTGGCTTTCTACTGCCTGGGTTTGAATCCCAGCCCCACCACTTACCAGCTCTGTGACCTTGGCAAAGTCACTCCCCTCTCCCTGCCCCAGCTTCTTCATTAGCTCTAACTTCAGGGGGTTGTTGTGAGAGTTACATGAGTTCATATTTATAAAGCACTTAGAACAGTGCCTGACAGAGTAAGCAGTACATGTACTGGAGAGTATTCTCGTTATCATGAGAATTGTTATTAGTAAGCAGGCTAGACTGACTCTGAGAGCAAGAATTGAAAATACCAGCAAGAAAATAAGCAAAAAAGTAGTACATGTTCTATTGTGACTAATTAAAAAAACTTTTATAAAAATATAAAATGTAGGGGCCGGCTCTGGGGCCGAGTGGATTTTGTGCGCTCCGCTTCGGTGGCCCAGGGTTTGGGCAGTTTGGATCCTGGGCGCAGACATGGGACTGCTCATCAAGCCATGTTGAGGCGGCATGCCACATGCCACAACTAGAAGGACCCACAACTAAAATATACAACTATGTACTGGGGGGATTTTGGGAGAAAAAGCATAAAAAAAAAGATCAGCAACAGCCGTTAGCTCAGGTGCCAATTTTTAGGAAAAAAAAAAAGATTGGCAACAGTTGTTAGCTCAGGTGCCAATCTTTAAAAAAAAAGGAAAGAAAGAATGACATATGTTAGGAAATTGAAAAAATATATAAAATGTATATATTACAAATGTTACATAAGTAAATGTATAAAGACCCATCCTAAGGTCTACTTCTGAGTTTTGAACGTAGCCAGTGACAGAAGTATTCTGAAAGATCTAATCCACAAAATGCCAAGTGAGTCACCTTACTCTCTCCAGCAATGAAAATGCATTATCTGATGTCGCTGGCTGATTTGGGACTGACTTTATTGCACTTAGCCAAGGATGACTCACCACCAGCCCCCTTCCTTTCCCACCCACCTCTCCACCAACATTGCCAGAATACCGGCCTGTTTGCATGATAACATCTGCGAGGGCCCCAAGGATCTGGCTGCCTCCCTTACAGGTCTGGGTTGGCGCCTGGAATTCCCACACTCCAAGTCTCTACTCTGGGCGAAAGTAGCCTGTCTAGAAGACCCTATTAAAATGCATATATGCCACCTAGGAGGAAGGTGGGGGAGTAACTCATTAAAAGTTAACAGATACTAGTTCATCAGATTAGCAGTCACGAAGGGCCCTCGGGGAAGGGGACACACAAGTCTTGTAAATTCGGATGGTTCGCTTCACTTTAAAAAAAGAAAAGGGAAAAGAATAGTTTACTTCTCTCCCATTTGAATTCTTAAAATTTTCATCTTGTTGCCTTAAGGGCAGGCTAAGGTTCAGTAATCCTCATCAAGTCTCATTAAGTTATATAAATTCTATTCTCATTATGCCTAGTTAAATCTTGTGACTTCACTAATCTTGGTGAGATTTAATGATGCCTAACTGCGCCTAAGAAAAGTTTAACAGTGTTTGTGACTTAAAAATGCTCCGCTGGATTTCATGTGACTTCAGAGGACCTGAGAGGAATTGTCAAGCCTTAAACGAGAATGCTATACCATAGCGTTCTAGGCCCTAACCAGCCACTTCGAGCTATTTCTAACCAGTCTTTTTATGGATTAGTTCAAACACAAGAGTGAGTTTTTCTCAGGCCTGAAAGAGGTCTTCTGTCCTTGAAATTAGCTAGATCAGGATCATGTGCTGATCAAGGTCCTTGGGCTTTCGTGGCAAAGACTTTGTGAATTTGATCAGAGGCAGATTCAGGCTTTCCAAAACTGAACAGGTAGGAAGGAAGTTTAAGGAATGAGTTGCAGTGCTGACTAGTCAAGGTGAATAGGATTTATCGACAATAAGCTTGACTAACAGGCATCAGTAGTTTCCCAACACTCCCCAGTGCCCATTGCCATTGAAAACACGCTTTCCCAAAACTCCCAGGAGCTTGGAATGGTGGTCATTGTTTTGATTTTCCTGCATTCCCACTCTAGGTCAGGCTTCCACATTGCCCACCTGGATGGTCACAATGTCTTCTTAACCATTCTCCTGTCCATTCTCCTGTCCTCAGCCTCTTTAGGAAGATGAGCACACTCATCTTCCTAAAATTGTGTCTCAAAACTTAATCCATGGACTTGCGGCCTCAGAATCCTCCCTGATGTTTTGTTTTATTTTTAAAGATTGGCACCTGAGCTAACAACTGTTGCCAATCTTTTTTTTTCTCCTCAAATCCCCCCAGTACATAGTTGTATATTATTAGTTGTGGGTCCTTCTAGTTGTAGCATGTGGGACGCGACCTCAATGTGGCCTGATGAGTGGTGCCATG